GCGAACGAAAAAATAGGGGAGAAGCCTGGCGAGAGCTCACCGTTTTTCGCGGTTCGAGTTATCGGGAAGTTGGAAAAATTGAGGGTTTGAGAAATGGGAATTCCACTGTTCATTGCTGGCTCATTAGTTTTGACACCTTATGATCTTTTGCTTGAGGATTTACTCCAGCTGTTTGACTGTTGTATCGCGTAAAAACTTTGCAAGGCGGACGATTCATGAAATTCTGCTCAAGATTGTTACTCCCACTTCTCTAATTTTGGCCATTCCTGTAAAACTGAACATTTTAAGAAACGATGGTTTTTATCAAAGTTGGTTATTACCAGGGTAAAATCTTGTTTTTTCTTCATTTGTTTTCAGGAATGCCAGTGGTTTAATTGTCTTCTTTATCACATCCGGCACTCTTTACAAATTCTGGAGCAGTGCGTGCTGGGAGGCTCACCTGCAATCCCAACATCCCTCGTGCCCGTTGTTGATGCGCTGCAGGAAGAAGTGGTCCCCAGTGATTGGCTGCATCCCGATTGTCAGCCCTCCCCCCACAGTCTTGCATCTTGGCTCATAGGTAATGGTGACATCACCAACTGGGTTGCTTTGCATAGCCAAGACATGCTTTTCTTTTTAAGGCGTTAAATTGAGTCACCTTTCCGTGTCTGAGAAACGAAGAAGTAAAAACAAAAAAAACAGAAAACGTACAACAATATGGCGGAGATCGAATAAAATGCAAATGTGGTAAGGGGCTGCAAGCTAAAATGCTGCTGGTATAAGTAGGATCTCTAAAAGCAGCATGCTAGCCGATTTTCAGTTGGAGTCCCTTGCCACATTTGTATTTAGTTTTGTCTCAGCGGATATGCTGTCTTCTTCTAAGTGGCATTGTGCAGGTATTTTCTGTAGGATTTTGTCATCACGACATTTTAGCCTGTTATCCACAGTCACGCGGTGTGCACGTGACATTGATCAATCCGCAAACATTTCGATTCATCTGAGGTCATTACCATTGGCATTTAGGAGACAGTTACCCTTTGTGCTGGTTGCTGTAATTTCGGCTCCGACAACCCAGCAAGGTCGAAACAGCTGTCCACGGTTGCAATTCTTGGCTTTCAGGCTGGACTCTATCCTGTCGTTGTCGCATTTAGTTTTCTAAGTAGTGTCAGCCTTGCTTCATTGTACTAACAGTTCAGCTGCTTTTTTTTGTTTTTCTTTTCAAAACAGACTTAAGTCGGCGCCACAAGCAACTCAGTGACTGGGTTCGGCGTGGTATCGTTCCGAATCCAAACTCCGAGCCCTTAGTAGGTCGTGGTCAGCTGACTTCCGTCTGGCTTGGTGGCCTGGCCAACCCCGGAGCGCTGATGACGTCACTGAGGCACGAGAAGGCCGCCATGGCTGGGTGTACGGTGGACGAGGTACTCTCTACTTTCTAGTTAATCGCTTAAGTGGTAGCTTTCCTTGTTCCGAATACAAGTGTTTTGTAACCATTGGAATTAAGAACAAGCCAGCGACAGTTTGTGAAAAATTCTGCCGAATCCTTCACAGGTTGAACTTCGCTGTTCATTGGCGAAGTCTTACTTATCACGTGACGAAAGTAGCGACGATTTGGAGCAAGGCCTGGTGGTGAGTGGGCTGTTCATTGAAGGTGCGTCACTGGACCTTGATCAAGAATGCCTTGTGGAACCAATGTAAGTATTGTGTGTGTTATAGAAAGCTTAAGTAAGACCTCTCATAAGCAATATCATACGGACAAAATGGCACTCCAGTTGTCAAGTCGGGGTGAAACACTCGTATGTGACCATTCAAACTTAAAATATCGAGCGTGTTTCCTTGAGCTGCTGTTTGTTTTTGTTTTCCGATACTTGAAACAATGATTTTGGGTGATTCTTTTTTTAATGCTGACATTGACACTCGAGAGTAAAAAAGGTTTCCTAAGTTGCCTCATCTTCAAACATTTCGGGGTGCGCGTTTTCCGCTGTCAGTAGCCATCAGATACTTCAAGTTTTACACAGCAGTAAAAAGGAAAATGTATAGGCCGTAAAAGAGCCGGACAAAATACTAGCCTACGTGTAGCCGTACCCACCCCCCGAGGAAAAACGGGAGGGAGGGAACGTAGACGTTCCCTCCCTCCCGTTTTTCCTCGGGGGGTGGGTACGGCTACACGTAGGCTAACAAAATACATGCCTGTAGTAAATTGATTTGTGAAACCAAGGATGTTTAAAGGCGCCATGTTTGTAAATTTCTTGTTGGAAGACCCGAAGAGTTTCTGATTCATACAATGTTACTAGTATCTAATCGAAAATTGCACTCGGAAAGCTGTTACGTTGGCATACATCATCACGTGGGAAGCGCCATCAGCGTCCTTCATATTGCTTTGCAAAATTAGTATCCAATACGCGATACCGACTGCAAAAGGTTGTTTTTAACCGTCTGCTTCTTCCTACCTGTAATTCACAGGTCGGCCATATTACAATTACCAGACCTCTTTGTGTCCGCTGTCATACCCGATGAGGAGGAACCTGGGCGCGAAGAGAGGAACGAGGCAGATGATTTGGACGTTTATCGTTGTCCAGTGTTTATGAATAGGGTGAGTGTCAGATTTATTCCAACTTCGAGTTCGTTATTAGGTGGGATTTGGTTTTGTCCCGAGCCTGTTATGCTGTGATACAAGTTTTGTTCTGTAGTAATACCCCGTACTTAAATTCCTTTGTTTTATCTTTTCAGGCTCGACAGTGTTGCTCGTTTACTTTACCCATCAAGTGCTCCAAGACTGCGGAGCACTGGATCTTAGCTGGGGTTGCCATAGTGTTGGATCCAGGAAACTTGTCCAACTCATGGAAACTTGTGCAAAACAATTTTTAAACCACAATGATTTGCAGAATACCTGAACTTTGAATTATGCTTTATAACCCGTCCATGAATCATTTCAAGAATGTTTTAGCGTTCCCAAGGAAGCATTCACAGGTGTTCGATGTGTAATTTTAATATTATCTCACTTACACTCCAACACGTTGTAAATAGTTGCGAAGTTGCTCAAAATTAAGATATTTATTCTTTGTGTGCATGCTCGTTACATAAACCGACTGTAAATTGGAGTTGCCTCAGAGAATCCAAATATTCTTATGCCTTTCCTGTCATTTAGTTGTGGAACAAATGTCATTTTTCGGAAAACTTCGCTAACAGAACCTCGATATTTTTCGATTGTTACTGTCCAACCAGAAACGTTGTAAAGGGAGAGACGTGTCATGTAAGTTCTACAGCATGGGTACAGTCAATTTATGAGGTGGGTTTCTGCCTGAAAAAGTATTTTGTTTTCCAACCAGTAGACCAGCATAAAATGCCGTATTTGTACAGTTGTGATGGTGTGATCGATTTATTCTTGCCTTTGTGTTTCTTTGAGATATTCTCAATATGATTCCAATCTGTGTTGGTGAGCCACAAGGGACTTGTTCAATATACTTGTACAGCACGACTTGTTATGAATATATTAAGTTATTTTTATAAATAAACAAGTTCATATTCTTCAATTCATCAAGTGTTGTCTTATCTTGATAGTCTTTCGGACCCTTTCGATTGATCCTTGCGATGATGTGGGGCGAACAAATAGTTATTTGCGAGCTTTTGCGGACAGCGAGTATCTTAAGTTTAGTGCCGCGCGTGTCTGCTCTCTCAAGTGTTTAGAGCTTGGATCACGTATCTTGGAAAGTTTAGGGTGGAAATGCAAAGTGCTTCGTCCGTGATCTGCCAATCTTCCTTAATCTTTACCATCCTTAAATCTTTTTCGTTTATCGTCTCTAAATAGGTTCCCTTGGCAAGAAATGATAATATATAGTGACGTGTGTTTTGCGAGAGACGGGTCTCTGTATCGCTATTGCTGCAATTTGTCCGCAACGATTCGGACCGTTGTAGAAGACTTACGACTCCTTATGCCAAAAGCAAGGAAAGGTAATACCATTGCCATGTGCAACAGGAAAATAGCATCGTAAATAATCACCCGCTTCCATTCAGGCGCTTAATGTTCTCCCAACACTCTCAATGCCACCCGCGGGGTGGGCTCGATTTCCGCCGCTCTCTCGAGTCCCGCCTACCGTCCTCTCCCCGGGGAGGAGGGGGGGGGGGAGCACGAACTCCTTTCCCGGGTGGTAATCGAGCGTACCCGCGCGGGAGCTAAGAGGAGCATTGAAGGACTCAATGTTCTCCTGGGGTATGGTCGTTGAATGTCACATGGTACGTTTTCAAATTATAATCTGAAAGTTTGTTTGCGCAGAGGGTTTGGAGGATCCTCGACAAATGTAATTTTGCAGGTGAACAGCTGAGTAAATTTTAATACAATCTCGCGGTGAGACCATCCTTTGTTATTGCGCGCCATGTGTAGCAAAATTACTTTTCGACATATTACGACACATTACGACTCCACCCTTTTCTTCGACTTC